CCCTTTTCTTCTTCCCCCTTTCCCCTCGCTCCTCTTAATACCCAACCGCCAATAATTTTATCTGTGTAGAAACAATGTAACTTGACCTATACAATTTGTGAAACCAGATCTTGCGTCTGACAGAGTTTAACACTTTAAAAAAAATATTGCAAATGCAACTTAGAAATCGTTTAAAATGTGTCAAATTGATATATGTACAAGTATATTGCATTGAGCGTTTCATATTGCCACTAGGGCATAAATCCCAAAGTTCAGATTAACACTGATATTATTGAAACTAGAATTTCAAAGCAATTAGACTGCTGGATGCTCTGAATTTGCGTAAGCAAAAATGAATCCTAAAGAGGATCAACTTAAGTAATTGCTTTCTTTATACAGTGAGATGATCGACGAAGCTGTACAAGCAAGAAAGCGCATTGTTTGCTCGAAGATGTCCGAGTGCTTGAGAGTTATCGAAAACTCCTGTGCACAAATTAGTAATGTGAGTTTTGAATGGTTGCCATGTCTTACTTTTACTCATTCGCTTTACGCCCTTAGTTCAAAATTTGGTTAGGATAGGCGCGAATCAGATGAGTGAAAACCCTACCTACTAGAACTACCTCTGATTTTGATAAAATCTGATGAAAACACTTACTTATTGACTTTTCAAGGTTACTGCACCGCAACACTGGAGAGCTCCCCATCTGCTACAAGCAAATTTAAATAGCCTTCGCGACGCTGTCACGACAGCCCATGAGGCTCTAGACATGTTTGTAGATGGAACTGGTAGAATATCCATTGACAGAAAGAATCCAAAAGCTGAAGGTATGGTTTTGCATAAGTTTTGAAAAGCATTTCTTTAAAAAAAGTTTTGTAGAGTTTGACGAGTTGCTGAAACCCCTGCTTGAGACGAAGAATCACATGGCAGCATTGCGTAAAAGTCTCGATAGCGCTGGTTGGACTGTTTCCGTCCTATCCCGAGACAATGAAAGTTCTCGCTCTATGGATGCTTTGGAACAGTTTATTGCTGCCTTGCATAAGGTAAGAAAGGATCTTCAGAATTTCTTTCGATGTGCATTTCTAAGTAGAGAATTTTAGGCGCCATCGGATTGTCGGCGACTTCTACAATGGACACAAATTCTTATCCCCTCTCCTACTGTTGTTTTCTTGAGTCCAATGACTAACATTAAACCGGAGCTGCCGAAACCTACAGTCAATACAACCAGAATAGGGGAAAAGCCCATGAACACGCTTGGGTGAGATTTCTTGAATCT